AAAAAAAAAAAAAAAAAAAAAAAAAAAAAAAAAAAAAAAAAAAAAAAAAAAAACATGAAACTTGTGCACACATACGTATGATAATAACAACATAATTTCGCTGCCACTACATTTATGTCCTTTAATCACAAAGTTTATGTTTCTACAAGAGAATTAGGTACTTGTAAATTTTGGCATCACCACAATAGCAGTGGCAATAATGATAATAATATGTTAATCGTGTTTGTTACATAAATGTGTATGCATATATATATATACACAGCACATAGAAAAGGGGGCTGAAACGAGGGGAGGCTCCAGCAGCTTCTAGAACCTTTGAACGTATACGTATACATGTAACATATATATACACACGGAGAGGCGCCACCAGTTCCGATGTGACGCATAAAAGCTCTCGTTTCTTCTCCGCATACGGGTAATGTTCTGCTTTTTTTTTTTTTTTTTTTGTTCTTCCGTCCCCCACGATTCAATCCTACGAGACTTTGCTTATCTCCGTGATGTGTAACGCGTCCATTTTTCTTTTTCCGCGCGATACCCGCATCCGAGATTAAGCATGGGCTTATTCAATTACACCGAGACTTTGGAAGGGAAGACCACTATGTAATATGTATATGTACACCGATAGCGGCGATAGGGAAGATAGAAAAAAATGCCCATCACGCGGAACGGGGATGTATACTCCCCGCGCGATGGCGATCACATACATTCACACACTCGAGTCAACGTTTCCAATTGCCATGCCTGCGATGGAAATTTTTCCCCCCTTCTTTCAGCGCGCCTGCCATCCACGGAATTTTCCCTTCGCCCATCCATTACCCGAGCGTCCACGCGTATATACGCCAAGGGCAAACAGGGGGATGTATGATGCTCCACCCGCGAGGTGCGCCCAACTTTTGTTTCCGCAAAAGAATTTTTCTTTCTTTTTTTTTTCCCGTATCCGATACGTTTGCACAAGAGACAGGACGACAAACTGCCTCAGTTTGGTTGACCCAAAGGGGAAAAAAAAACCTTGTACATTAAACTTTCCGACGCGTTACATTCATTGAGTCATCCCTCCATTAAGGTATATATACACATATATAGGGAGAGATCCCCACGTACATATAGCTATTAATTTGTTTTTCTTGTCCGTCTTTCTTTTTCCCTCCCCCGCGTCGCCGAGATTGCGGCTGGTGTAATGTAGGCTCGTTGTTTGCGAGCGCTAAATTTTCGTATCGCGTGTATTTATGTTGCAGGGGGAGGGAAGGGGTGTATACAGCATTAACAAAGTCTCGGCGCCACGGGATTTTTCCTTTCTCCGTTTTCGCCGGCTTTCCACGAGAGTGCCAAAGTGGCCCCGAATGATGGAATACGAGGAGGAGGGGAAAAAAAAAAAACAATAATCAGAAGAAGGGACGAGGGGGACAAGGGTTCCTTTGACGTTCATGCTCGCGCGAAAGGCTTCTTCTTACGTAATTGCCTATAGTTAAATGGAAAGAAGAAAAAAAGAAAAAAAATCGAGGCGATGCGGCAATTATTAAACACAATGTTAAGAAACCCCGCTTGGCACCTCGCGTACATTAGATACATCTATGTGTATATATATATATATATATATACATATACGTATACGTGTATATACACGTACACAACTGCGTAAGTATTATTTATAATAATGTGGCATTATTATCTTTTGACGTTACATAAAGTATACGTAGCCTGCAGATCTTGGCTTCTGCTGCAGTGTGCCGTGATGAGGATGATGATGATGATGATGACGATGATGACGAAATTTCCCAGCAACAGCCAGTAGCATCGGTATATATTATAGCCGAGTGGGGTTTCTCAAGTTGTACTTTACTTGCTGTTTTTTCTTTTTTTCATTTCTTTTTTTTTTTTTTTTTTTTAGTTTTTTTTTTAGTTTTTTTTTCTTTTCGAACTTCATTTTCAACTGTGCATCAGTGAGGTGTTCGTGATAAAAAGTAGGTGNTTTTTTTTTCCATTTTCCATCCCGTACCACTATCGGACTGATTTGTATCGCGCGTAAAGACCCGTCGTCGCTTTCACAGTTTTGCGGAAAAATCACACGCGGACGAGCGCGTAGTACATGTATTGTGTAAACCGATAAGCGTCCTTCTCCACCGAAGCCCGTGAAATACCTACTTATCCTCGTTCCCGATTATAAAAAAAATAAAAACAGTATGCATATAATATCTGGGAACACGTTTTCGTGCGCCTAACTTTTAGAAAAAGAAAGAAAAATTCCTCTCACAGTAGAGCCACGTCTGTTTTGTGAAACGTGTATAACACCTCGAGAGCGCCAGAAATGCAAGGGGGGGGGGACCTGTCTCGGCACTCATTTGGCCTGGAATCCAAACAAAAAATAAAATAATAGCCGCGCAAAGTTTCGCAAATTGCACTTAAAAGCCCGAGCGGTGTCGATGTGCTCACACACACGTACACACACACACAGTGTCGAATATTGCTGCATTTTCTCGAGGCAACGTTCAAAAGCGGTTATATTTTGTATAGGTGTACGCGTTTCGTGGCTAGTTTTAATGCAAAGTAAGTAAAAAGAAAAAAGTGGTGATGGTTGTCGTTCGGGTGATTAAAGGGCTTATATTTGTGTTCGAAAAGATATATTATACGTTCCATCTTCCTCCGGAAAAATTAAGGAGGAGGCAGGCGCGTCTCGCGGTACCTTATACTAATTGCAGATTGGCCCGGATTAGCTGCGCCGGCTAATTAGAGGCTTCGCCAGAGTTTGCTTTCGCAACCCTACACCCGCTTGCTCTCGTGTATATACACTTGCTCATCCACCGGGAGGAGAAGAACAACCCAAGATGTTGTCGTTTTTGCAACATGTATCTCGAGCTGCAGTAGTACAGGTGTAGTTGCAGTTGCGATACTTTTCGGGGGTGACCAAGTAAGCTCCTTCACCCTCCAATTGTACTCCACGCGATCCCGATTGACGTGTTGTTTTTGTTTTTTATTTACCACACGAAACTCGTTAGAAAAAAAAAAAAAAAAGTTTGATTTGGAGTCTCCTTCGGTAGACATCCAAGTGGCACGCGAAGTTCACGGGGCCAAGAGTGTGTGGAAGAAGCGCGTACGCGGAATAATCGGCAAGGCGCGAGAGGATGGGGCTGCTTCCGTACACCGCTGCACACGCGTGTCTTGCATCTCATCCGGCTTCGTGACCACGTCGACTTTTTTGTTCCCCTCTTCCTGCTTGTCAGTCAAGTCTGACGTGTTTCTTTCTACTATACCTTTGATCGGTTCATTTTTTTGTTCATGATCAACACGTGAGCACAAGTATTAAAAAAAAAAACGCGGCCTCTAGCGTAATTGAAAACTGGATGATTTTTATGCCATGTAAGAAGTACGGGATGGATGTACGTGAAGTATACCGATGGGCTCTCGCTCGATTGTGTAATGTATGTTGGCGATATACTTGTTATTTGTTTTTTTTTTCTTCTTCTTTTTCTTGCCGATGATCGCGAAAAACCGGCGTTCCCAGCTCGCGCGTGATATAATGCATACACACGATGTAATTCGCGCTCCGGTCGATCGGCGGGTCTCTTTGCAAAGTGTACCGCAGGCGCGGCCTTTTTTTTATTTGTTTTTTGTTTCCTTCGTTCGTTCGTTCGTCCTTCTCTTTCTGCTTCGCTGTTTGCAATTAGAGTTGAAAATAATGCTCAAGAGCGTAGAGTCTTTGTTGCTGGGTTTTTTTTTTTTTTTTAAGTTTTCGACGCAACATTTGAACCTACCAAGTTTGCCGTGAAAATAAAAATTACAAGTACATGGGGTTGTTAGTGAAGCAAAAACTCGGAAATTACGACATGGATGGCAAAAGGTGCACTTGTTGGTCCATCATTTTAAAATGAAGAAGAAGAAAAAGAAAGAAAGAAAAAAAGAGTAATGAGAGATGGTCAAAAGAGACGCTCCCCAGAATCCCCCCGGCAAAGCCTCCCTCGTTCCCCCCTCGGAGAAGAGCTGCGAGAGGGACGAGATTCCCCCCCGGAGTTTCCACCTCATCAACTCTCGGTCGCCGACCACACATACACCACTATACGTAAGCCAAAGCAAAAGTAAACTGTAGTCGAGCTTGCAGTTTTTTTTTCGAAAAAGACGAGCTTTTTCCACCGTTTACAAAGAGAGAGAGAGAGAGAGAGAGAGAGAGAGATAGGGTGCGAAGGGTTGCCGAGAAAGATGGAGGGACGGGGTAACTGGTGGATAAAAGATGAGAAAAGTATAGCCGATGCAAATGGATAATCGTGTAAATCGTAAGTACTCACCGTGGGCTTACAGGCTGTGGTGGACAACGACGAGGAGTCTTGGGTACAACTTTGGGTTTGTTGTTTTATATTGTACCGCTGATGTCCGGTCGTAGGTGCAACGTACTCCGTGTGTGCTCGGGAAGCGTCGGCAGTCCACTGCGCGTTCGTCGGTATATACGGGGGGGCCGAGAGTCTGGCTCCGCTGGTGCACAACGCTGCTGGTGGAGGAACGTGCGAGTTACGGAGAGAAGGGGGCACGTATAGCGTGGTTCCGCGCGCGCGTGCGTTTCACAAAGCTCTCTGTATAGCGTGGGAGAGAGAGATAGAGAGAGAGAGAGCCGCGACTGTATATATACGAGAGCAAAAGAGAGCGAGAGAGAGGCGGCGGCGATCCGGACGAAGGTTGGCTCGTGTGTGTCGAGTCGGATTCCACGGGGCCGCGCTTATATACCCGCTTCGCCCACCATCCCCCCGGGGGCTCCTTCTACATTATGCGCGCCTCTCTGTACCACCCTGCGTCTATACGGCCTTATTTGTGTACGCGGCTATGTGTGTGTGTGGCTGTATGAGTGTATTCGATGGGCGTCTGGGGGCCCGCTCGACAGAGAAAAGAGAGTATATACCTCCGATGTGCGGCCTAAGGGGACTATACGCGCTCCTCAGCCCTCCCTGCTGTACCGGCAGAGGGGCTCCACTTCCATCCTCTGCTACTTTTTTTTTTTTTCTTTTTTTTTTTTTTTTTGATGCTGTTCATTGGCTTTCCCCATCTCGCTTCTCTCGCGCTTTACTCGTTTTCTATCGACCGGCCGTTTTGTTTTTCCAACTCCCCACGGGCTCCGTTCGCCGCGCCGTTCTCGTAACCGAGGGGCCATGCCATTGCTCCCGCGAATTTTTCCAATTGGCTATAGCACCCGAAAAAAGGGCAATCATACAGAACGACTCTGCGCCACGGTTGTGCGTACGGGATCCCTGGTGTGTTGGACAGGGGCCTTGGGGGTAGGTATCAATTATAACTTCCTCCAAGTTCTGCAAATTTCCGGCAAAGTTTCGGGGACTAATTACAAGAACCCCCGTCCGATCGGGTAACAAGGCGGAGGGGCGAAAGGAGCCAAGAAAAGTTAACTCCATACTTTTTCAACTTTTATCATTTCGCTTCCACAAGTATTAAGAGACGGCACGCGGCGCGATGGAGAGATAATAAACAACAAAAAAACAACAAAAAAAAAAAAAACTTGCACAACTTGGGAGATGGGGGTCACTAAACGCCTGCGTAATCAAATTCCCCGGTTTCCGACGGAGCTAAAACAACATCGGCAGTCCCGCGAGCGCCTAATCAATATTTTGTCCTTGAACTTCTGTAAGATACATGTATGTATAATACGTATACACATGCAGGCGCCGATCGGATAAGTATCCACATATATGTAAACGCGCGTGCACATGCACGGGTATTTCGATCCTTTATTTTTCCTCCCCTTCTCTCTCTGCGGCGTCTTACCGCAGCATCGAGGAGTGCGCGGAGGGTGCGTTTGCACCGACGGATGCTTATTACGCGAGAGGGACTCGATGTCCCTTCCCCTTCTCGGACAGGTTCTTCCTCTCCCTTTACCCCCGCGATTGCGACCGCGCTCGCCATATATATAGGCGCATCGAGTGCACGCCCGAGCATAGAAGGAGAGCCAACGCACTCTCGCGTTTCGCATCATCGGGGATCCAAGGGAGTGCGCGTGGACACTGTATCATATATACTCCGGATTTCCAACCCCCCCCCCTTTTTTTTTTTTTTCCTCCTCCCCCTGGGGCTCCGTTTCGGGGGGAAAAAGAAAGATAATTGAGGCGCAACTTGGCGCAATAAATAATAACATCAAGTGCAACCTCCAAAGTGCCAACGGCGCGTTTCCTCCCTCTCTTGCACAATCGCCCGCAAAGGGGTTAAAGTATACCTGCCCCGATAATACACCCTTCTTGCGTAAGTGACTTTGCCCGCGCACCTATAAGGCAGATATTATTGGGTCACCCGCGGTATCGTGAACTTTGGAACGTCAAAGACTATTGTGACGAGTACATATAAATTACTTTTTTTTTTTTTTTTTTTTTTTTTTTTTTTTTTTCTTCTCGAAGGGGCGTACGAGTCACCGAACCGCGGATCATAATAATGGAGCATACTTATAGGTGTACAAGAGTCGTCTCGGGAAACGCACGATGCTCTTCTATAAGCAACTTTTCGACGCGGATCTCAAGCGGCGCGCATATACTTACGTCCCCGGACCCTCGTCCCGGTAGGTACATAATATGTATATAGGTTCGATCGTTCCGTGTGGTGCTTGAGAGAGAGAGAGAGACTCGTTGGGCGAGTTTGTTCCTTCAACGCCCGCGTACAAAAAGGAAGAGGAGAAAATGGGACACGGACTGGTTCCGACAACGCTGGCTCTCCCTCCCCCGTGTCCGCCCATAGTCTTTAAACGTCCAGCCAACCAACTAATCCTCTCGCCTGAAATTCAGGGTTTAACGCTCCTTGCGCGCATCTTCTTTTTACACCCATACATACATACATAGATACGTACGAGCCGTCGATATATTCCGTTCCCCATACTCTTTGTTTTTGTTTCTTTTTCTTTCATCTGCTTCGAGACAAGAGCAGAGCGCGTTATATTCGCAATCACATATTTTACACCCAATATCGAACTTACGTGCAGCATATATTGTAAGATATCCCACCAAAAACAACTGACGTGTAAATTAACCCATTCTCGTCTCTGATCTGGCATTCGCCGCAACTATACCCTATATACACGTATATTCCATGGCGGGCCATTTTTACTTGCCCCTCGGAAAATCATTTGACTGTCGATTAACGAATGGCAAATTTGCAATCCCGCCACCTTTGCGCTAACCATCCGGAACGAGTCCCTTCCTAGGAGGAACGTACACCTCGAAAGGAGAGATAAAAGGCCCAACTCTTTGGGCTCGATCGATTTATTCGCCGAGTATATGACTTCTTTCGTTCACGGCACCGGGGTGTGGGGGAGGGGGGGGTCAGGAAAGACGAGACGCGTATACGTACCGGACTTTGGATCCAGTTATGCAAATCCGGGGAACGTCCCTCTCCCTCGCTTCCGATGATGTATCGATTGGCAGAAAGGGGAGGGGGGATACGCACGGCGTCCATACATCACCACTGCCGTGTCAACAAAAGTCGTCCTCTCGGTGATTAAAAGACACACCTGATGCGCACACCCAACCCTATGCTGTTTGCTTCTCTCTCGCCATCACCCGGGGCCCTGCGTCTGTAACCGTCTCCTCTTTCCAGCGCGAAATTTCAATCGATCCGACATCCCCCCTCTCTCCATCAGGCGGGAGAGATCCCACGCTCGTCGCACACGATGTCAATAAAACCGAGGAAGATCAGGATTACGCGACGTGTAAGCCATTCGGTCCTTTTGGAATCGCGGGCTTTTCGAGATTATTGGAGATCCGTGCCAACCATATTATAGGGTGACTGACCAGTGAATGACCGAACGAACGACAGAGGGGCTTTTACGATTGTCGTGTCGTATATATGTGTATAAAGGCGCGTGAACATGTATCCCAAAAATCACGTCACTCACCTCGTTGTTTTTTCCTTAGCTCGCAATTTTATTTGCAGTAACTCGCTCTCCGTCACTTTTGCACACAGGTCCAAACGTATATACTCGGGGATCATCAATTTATTGATGATCGGGACAACGCAACACCATGCTGGGGATTGAATGTTCGGTTCATCGATGATGGATATCCGTCCGACTCGTTACACCAACAAAAGTGTACACCTATATCGGGGTCGATCCCCCCCGTACTCGGAAACGAAAAGTCATATTTCGCTCTGCGCGTATAAGGTGTATATATCCCTGTAAACCGAGGATTGGGAAAAACACGAGCTCCATCACTCGTGTTTGTCTGTCTGTTTGTGAGTGCGACGGTGCAGGTGTACATTGTATGCTTTCACACGAGAGTGAGAGCACGGTAGTATGGTTTACAATCCTGTTTTGAGGGTGACGAAATTTCATACCTACGTGTGCCCCTCTCTTTATGGCGCTCCTCTCTTCCAACTCGAGGGCGTACCTCGTGACGCATATATTCGGTAGCGGCGTTGTCGTGCCGAGGAGGGGACCAAGTTCACCTACAACAGAGTTAACCAAAGTTTCGCGAGGTTTTCTCGGAAGCGAACGGCCGTGCGGGTGATTTTGATTTGTGGTTTTTATGGGCTGCCCGATGTGCCCCCCTCGTGCGAAGAAAGGTTTTAGAAGCGCTGGGAACGAATGGGTGACGGGGCGGGGACAACACCAACAATGCGTTTCTCTTCCTTTGCCTTAAATTCGCTCCGGAGCTCTCCGACGCGCCAGACGTTTGGGGGTTTGAATTGAGAGTGGAAAAGAAGAAAACTTTGCCGGCCTTGACGGTCACGCTCAACTCGTGAAGCCACGTATCGGGTGTGCATCCGAGGGAAAACAAAATTTTTCGATGCACCCGAAAATCACCTATACACCACTTCCGCGTCGGGCTTATGAAAAAATCATGGGATTAATGTTTCTCCCTTTTTATCATTTCAGGGCTGCCAACAGTGGCCAAATGTACGATAAAGTGCACTTGCTCGATCACGTTTTCTGAGCGCAAACGCGCGTTTGCCCGAATTTATAAGTGTGCCATATGCTTCATCATTAGCCTGATGATGTGCACCGAATTAATTTAAATGCTGCTCGTAACTGTTTCTGAAAAGGGTGCTCGTTTATGCGTACGTCGTTCGTCGAGAAGGGAAAAATCATTATGCATTTGTTTTTTTTAAATTTTTTTTATATAAATCCATACATAGATATTAGCCACTAATTGTGTGGTTGATTCTCGGAACAATACATTGATCATCTTTACCGATCATAAATCCATATCGGCCGATTACGCAAATGGGATGCGATGCGCGTTAAATTGCAATTAACATCATTTTTTTTTTTTTTCGTTCCATGAAGTAATAGTATACATGATTCGTTTGAAGCTACCTCACAACCATATAAACCTGTGCATCTCACAAGAGATGGTTAAACCCGCGAAGGTCGTTCAGATAATGTTACTGTATTTATGACTGCGAGCGATTCGCCGTCTTGGATCTTGTTTAGAGTGCTTGTTTTTTTCTAATTTACAACTCATAATTCAGTTAGATAAGGAAGTCTGTGTGCACAAGTGTGTACTTATACTCGAAGCGGTGGGTATGGTAACTCTTTGCAAAGTTGGCCGAGTAAATTTTTCAATCGAGAGTACAATTATAACTTTTGGAAGAAGAGTTTTCGTACGGGCACAGAAAAGGGTATATATATATATATATATATATGCATACGTCGAGAGTAAATCGATTTCAAACTCTCCCCGAACAA